CTGGGGAAGCTGGGAAGTTGGGGGATGAGAGGATGGAGGATGTGGGGGCGGCGGCGATTAAGCAGGTTGGGGGCCTGGAACCGCACCGCACCGCACCGCCTCCGGGCCGGAGCTGGGCTCACCGACCCCGCCGCCCTCCGAACAGCGCTGGGGCCTTTGCAGGGAGGGTGATAGAATTCGAACCCAGTTCTCCCAAACCTTTTCCCCGGGAAGCAACCTTAAGAATTCGATGCTAAAAAGGAAATCAGACCGGGGGACCCAGGAGCACCGGGAGTTTTCTTATCTCTGGGCCTCTCACTAACCCAAAACAAGCAAACACGCACGCACCTTCGTCTGGAGTGTTGCTTCCGGAAGAAGCCCAGTTCTGAGTAGCTGCCTAGCTGCCGTAGATCAGAATCCTAAGAACAAAGCCGTACCTCCTCCGCTCCGCTCCGCTCACTCGCTCCACCTGTCCGGGAGCTCCCCGCTGCCGCCCAGATAAACTCGGCTGCTCGACCCTGAATGAGAGGGAGGCTGGTTTTTAAAAAGTCAGACAAAACCAGGGAGCAAAGAACACTCTCTTCTCCATCATCCCGCAGAACCTCTAGTAGAAGTTTCTATCTCCAAAACCGAAAAGGTCAAGTTCTCATTCAGGCCGGTGCTTCTTGGGGTGGCTGTGAGAGGAAGAAGCGGGGAGAGGCGCGTGATGCTCATAAAAGGATGCTGGCCGCCTTTGAAGGACACAGGAGTTCTGGTTTGGGAAGGATTTGTGTTAACTAATCAGTCTTCCACAAATTACCTTTGACCTCAGTAAGAATGCTGAGCTGGGAGATTGCTCTGTGAGTAGGAGCTGGGAAATGTATGCCTTAAAAGTGTTGGCAATCCCCGGAAGGTTCAGGACCCAATCTTGGGCCAATGGAGCTCTGAGTTGCAAGGGCATTAAGTGTTGGTTGGTCTGGTTCCTAAGAAGGAGATGGCCTTCTGGCCACCAGGGGGCACTGGTGAGCTGCCAGCACCGGCTGATTTCCTCGCGGAGGGAGTTCTGGGAGCTCTGCAGAAGCTGGTCAGGGAACCCCGGACTTGGTGGTCTCCAGCTGTTGCATTACTCATCCCCCTCGGGCCCTGAGCCGTTTCTCCCCTCCCCAGACGTTTGTGCAGCAGTTGCTGCCGTGGCCAGCGAGCTGATGCCCTCTGCTCTGACCTGGGCCCTTGGTTCTCAAGGCTGACACCACAGTCTTTGCCAGACTGTTGGAGCCACTGAGGATGAAGGACCAGCAGAGTTGAGGGGGATGTTAATCTGGGTCAGCCACTCTTTTGACAGTTGAGAAGTCCAGAAATCCTTGCTAAGATGTGAAAGGGCTTGCCCAGCACCCCAGGGAATTTCCTACGAGCAGAACCCTGTTTCCTCACTTCCTCTATACTGTGTTTGTGTGCTTTGCAAAGCGGCGAGGAATATGTGTTCCTTTCCCCAGGGAGGTGTGCGGACAGACGAATCCACTTCACCGCCCCCTCTGAGGCTCTCGGCTTTATACATCAAGGAAAGGGCTGGTGAGGGACCCCTGGGAATGTTGGCTGGAATTAGAACTCTATTCCTTCCCTGACACCTTAGAATAAGTTGTTTCCCAGAAAGGAAGGTGATCATCATACTTGTACCTTGGTTCATCATAAGCCTGAATTTTCTTTCAAGACCTTTGATAACGGGCTTGACTGACTTCTTGAGAAGTTGAGAAATTTCCGTAAAAGTGAAGCACTGGATAGAAAGTAGTGAGTGAAGAGAAATTAATGGGGAATATGTAGCTCTAAAATCGTCTTGTTCTAGAATTTCCAGAATTCTGAGAAAGCTCTGTCGTTTGAAGCGACAGTTGTTGGGTTCTGACTGCCTTTGTCTATCTAAAGTCAGGCACCTGGTCTGGGCCCTCATTGTCACTTTGCTCCATTTTGCTGGAGTGATTCATAACACACTGATAGATACAGTCTAACATATATAGGCTTATAGTTCAACAAAATAAACTTAGCAATCGGAGAGAGAAAAGTCTACTATACAAACAGATACCCATTGAATTAAGTGGGCTGGTGGATTCCTAGTGCAAGCTTAGTTTATCCCTTCATTGACTTTGGGACATCCTTACTGAGCACCTGCGGTGCCAAGCACCACGTCCACAGCAGAGAGCAGGGCAGATGCGGTCTCTGTTCACAGAGTTCACATTCTAGAACTGACGGACGAACGGGGTAAATTCAGAAAGTACTAGATGTTTTGAAGAAAGGAAACAGAGTGTTGTGGTAGAGTATTGTTGATGGAGTGTGTGTGTGTGTGTGTGTGTATGTCAAGCTGGGGAGGGATGTTGGCTTCTTGGATTGGGTTTTGAGGAGAGACTTTTCTGAGACATGGCTTTGGGACGAGCCCCTGGAAGATGAGCATTTGGTTCTGGTGGACGGAACCACAGGCACATAGTGCTGGGGCCAAGCTCAAAGTGTCCCAGGCACAGCTGGAGGGCAGCATGTCTGGAGGAGGGGAGGAAGGAGGGAGGCAGAGGGATGAGGTTGAGGGGCAGGGATCCAGGTCATTCAGAGCCTTGGAGGCTGGGGTAAGCAGTCTGGACTTCAAGTGCAGTGGGTGGCTTAGAGCAGAGGCGTGATGTGATAGATTTACACTTTTTTCAGGGCTTACTCTGGTGCTCTCTGGAGGATGGATTTTATAGGAGAAGAGGACAGGAGGGGAAAATAGCTCCAGGTTTATTTATTATGTTGACCTAGGGGAGGATGGGTGCAGTCGGTGGACAGAAGCTGTGGGTTTTTTTTTTTTAATATGTATTTATTGAGGTATAGTCAGTTTATAACATTGTGTCAATTTCTGGTGCACAGCACAGTACTTCAGTCATATAGGAACATACATATGTTCATTTTCGTATTCTTTTTAATCATACATTACTACAAGATACTGAATATAGTTCCCTGTGCTATACAGTATAAACTTATTGTTTATCTATTTTATATATAGTAGTTAGTATCTGTAAATCTCGAACTTCCAGTTTATCCCTTCCCACCCTCTTCCCATCCTGGTAACTATAAGTTTGTTTTCTATGTCTGTGAGTCTGTTTCTGTTTTGTAAATGTTTGTTCTTTTTTTTTTTTTAGATTCCACATATGAGTGATATCATATGGTATTTTCCTTTCTCTTTCTGGCTTACTTCACTTGGAATGACTTTCTCCAAGTCCATCCATGTTGCTGCAAATGGCATTATTTTATTCTTTTTTTTCTGGCTGTCTAGTATTGCATTGTATAAATATACCCAACTTCTTTATCCAGTCATTTGTTGATGGACACTTAGGTTGTTTCCAGAAGCTGTGTTTTTAATGTTTCTCAAATTTCCTTCTACATCATGGAGATGACCTTGCTACATCTGGCCCACTTGTCTTATAAAAACAAGCTAAATGAATATGCTCTTAAAAGTAATGTGAGGTTTTATTACTGTTGTTATTTATTAATATTCTGCTACTTTCAATTCCCTGTACTTCATTTTCAAAGATTTTATGACAATTCCTATGTCTATTTCTTTATTCTTTTCAATACATATAATTTATTATATACATAAAAAATATTTTGCTCTGCTCAGAGTTTTGGAAAACCTTAACCAAGAGTTACCAATAAAACGCACCCTCGTAGAATGCAGGGAAATGAATACTAATGCAATAGCTGACGTGCTTTTGAAACTTGAAAGTGATCAGATAAAATTCAAAGGAGAAGCTGGAAACTGAAAAAAAGAATTTTTTTTTTTAAGTTAGCAGATTTGCCTTTGTTCTGGGTGTGGGGGTGCAGACATCCAGGAGTGCAAAGATCTGTTGATAGTTGAAAGTTTACATGTGGCAGCAGAATTTCCGGAGAGGGCTGTGAACCAGAGTTGAATAGGATTGTTTCCCTTAGTGAAGCAATCTCTCTCAGAGGAAACCTGAACTTTCCCTAGTTGATGACTGACTAAATTTTAGAGGGCCAGGCGAGAATTTCAAAGTTGTTTACCACCTGGGGTAGGCCTGACCTTCTCAGTGGCGGGACAACCAACTGCCACAGTGAGGCAACCCTGTTTCTCTTTCCTGCTTCATTTTGACATGCAACTTACTAGAAAGAGATGCATCTGCTTAGAAAAAAACAGAGGTCCTTCTTCCTTCACATCGTGTACAGTGAAGATGCAGATCTTAGTGACTGAATGGTCCCCTGGTTCTCTTCCCCTGCTGGACCCCATTAATTATTTGTTGGTTGGTGTGTCTGAATTTCAGCTTGAAGTGGCCAGGCTGGCGGTTCAAATTGCAGACAAGATGTGACAGTGGTTAGGGCATCTTTAAGGGAGAGGTTAGTTTCTCCTGGAGGCCACAGATCTATTCTGTTTGACTTATGTAATGTTTGGAAATGTTGAATGAGCTGCCCTCCTTTACAAGTCAGTATATTTTACATACAAATATAGTGTCCCAGCTTTGGGAAAAAAATGAACTTCTGGTAACGTGAAACTCTCATTCCTGCATGGCAGCCATCAGCTGGAGTAGGGTTGGACCCTTTCCGACGGTCCTATCTGCCACAGTCCCCAAGTCTGCGTTCTCTGTTACACAGGTCCTGCTGGGCTCATGTAAGTTACCTGGCTGGTAATGTTAGCGGATGGGGAAGCCCCCTAAAAACCCGTCTTCTGGCCATGAGAGAATTCACAGTGGAGACAGAGGGCAGAGTGAAAGCCGCTTTATTGCTCAAAAAAAAAAAAAAAGGAAAAGAGGGAAAGACAGTTGAGTGAGGGAGGGGTAAGCCCAGGTGTGTTGACCCGAGTAACTCCCCCTTCTGGGGTCCTTTTTTCTGTCTTGTTTGGTGCTTCTTGTCCTCTTTCCATTGGCTGCTCTTTTCCTGCATGCTTTCCAGTTCTGCTCTGTGGAACAGTCTGCAAAAACACAATCAGGTAACTAAGGACCTTCAGACAGTGTGATCAAGCTAGCGAGACCCTTAAACAGTGTGGTTACGTATATTAAATCGAGTCAGGGCTTTGTGTTTCCACAAAGCAGCCTTTTCCATTCCCCAAGCAAAAGTATTTCCTAAGGCCAACTCTATGTTAATTTTAAACAGATTCATTTTAAACCTTCAGAGAAGTCTCTAGACAAAAGGTCCCACGTTCAGTTTCCTAGCTCCTCACCTCCTTCAGTAACCTGATAGAATTCTGATCTCGGACCCCAGGTTTAAGGTTATCTAGTCAGGCCTGCCCGTTCCACATGCACCCCGCTTCAGTGCAGGAATCCCTTCTCCAATATCCTTGATGGTGGTCCACAGACCTGGGCTTAAACTGCTCCTCTGATAGAGAGAATATGGTACTGTTGAAGAGCTCCAGCTAGCTGACTTCTTCTGTCTGGGTCCACATAGAACACGCCCCCTTTCCTTCGAACTGGAGCTGTCATGTGCCATCTGGTTTTCCCTAGAACAAACATCCCTTGTTCCTTCAGCAGCTCCTCATGTGACTTGTTGCCTTGTTCCCCCATCAGTCTGGTTATTATTGGGTTCTTGTCCCTCTGAATAAACTTTCATTTGGCAAAGTCCTTAAAGCCCCACCAGTTCATTCAGACGGGGTTTAATTGGCGTAGGACGTCCCAGGATGCTTCCAGTATGGGCAGCAAACTACCCAGGGACCTTAGATAACTTAACCATTTATGACCTTCAAGCCAAATAGGGCCCCAAACATTTGGACATTTGCCGACTGGAGCCAGATGAGTTCCCATGTTCAAAATGTGAATAGAACCAAGTCATTTTATTTTACTTGTAGCTGTTGGGTTCTTGTGCTTATAAATACGTGCAAAATTAAATTGCTTCCTCAATAGGGAACTGCTTCTTATTTTGCTCTTTTGCCCATATCTCTTTTCTTAGGTTGTGAAATGATCACACAAGAGTTGAACCTACTGTGCCCAAGATAAGAGGCTTTAGACAGGTTTGCAGAAGTCGCTTAAGGGTTACACATTTGAGATCATGTCCATTGTAAGTTTTGATTCCATTAGCTAATGTGCTAGAAAGAAAATAACATTATTAGAATAGATATTATCTTTTCTCTTTCCTAGTTTCAATATTAGCAAGTATGAAGTAGGATTTTTTTTGCTTTTTGCTGATGCTTTTAAACGGAATCATATATCTTCTCTAAAGGTGGAACCAAACTTGAAGATGTTGAGTTGAGTTTCAGGCTTTACTATTTAAAAAATTGTTGATTTTTTTTTACAGTAAATATTCTCATTGATTTCAAGTATTGGGAAAGAGAAAAGCAGAAAGAGGAATTTAAAAATTACCTTTAGTTTCTAACCCTGTGAAACTCTCTGAAGGAGATAAACTTTGTAAACATTTCTATTTCTTTTTTTTTTCATATACACACTCATTGTCACATTTTTTTCTCTGTGAGTTATCATAACATTTTGTGTATATTTCCCTGTGCTATACAGTGTCATCTTGTTTATCC